GATAAGGAGGAGGGCGGAGGAGGGGGAGGAGGAGGAGGAGGAGGAGGAGGAGGAGGAGGAGGAGGAGGAGGAGGAGGAGGAGGAGGAGGAGGAGGGGGAGGAGGCACGCTAGGGAGGGATGCGGCCTCCCATACAATCTTGCTGGCTCTGGTGAATCGACGCCCATCGGCGCTAAATCGACGCTGATCGACGCAGCATCGGCGCCATCTCTATTCGACTCCCAGGCGCTGATCGACGCCAGCCGACGCTAGGCTCCCATGGTTTGCGACCGAACCTCAGCGGCTGCGGCCGCCAGCGGGCGAAGCTCGGGCAGCGCGTCGGCGGCGGCAGCGGCGCCAGCGCCGCGCCGAGCACGGCGGCGGCCATCGCTCTGCAGCGGGCCGCGAAGCCCCGAGGGGGCCACCCCGAGACGCCCAGCCTCCAGAGGGGCCAGCCCGAGCCCGCTCAAAATCTCGAGCCGAGATGGCTACAGTGGGACCCTCCTCGTCCTCCTCCTCCTCCTCCTCATCATCACCATCACCATCACCATCACCATCACCATCACCACCATCACCACCACCACCACCATCACCATCACCATCACCATCACATCACCATCACATCACCATCACCATCACCATCATCAGCATCAGCATCAGCATCAGCATCATCATCATCATCATCATCATCATCATCATCATCATCATCCTCATCATCATCATCAACATCATCATCATCATCATCATCATCATCATCATCATCATCATCATCATCAATCATCTCATCATCATCAGCAGCAGCATCAGCATCAGCATCAGCATCAGCATCAGCATCAGCATCATCAGCATCATCATCATCATCATCATCATCATCATCATCATCATCATCATCATCATCATCATCATCTCATCATCATCATCATCATCATCATCATCATCATCATCATCATCCCCCTCCTCCTCCTCCTCCTCCTCCTCCTCCTCCTCCTCCTCCTCCTCCTCCTCCTCCTCTTCCTCCCCCTCCTCTCGCTCCTCCTCCTCCTCCTCCTCCTCCTCCTCCTCCTCCTCCTCCCTCCTCCTCCTCCTCCTCCAGAAGAAAAATAAGAAGAACACCCGTCAAGAACATGAGGCCCTCCGCCGGCCAAACCACACAGAACAGCCCGAACCGACCTCGATCGTACATCTCGGCTCGACTGTACGGACTCCCCCTTATCAGCCCCTGCTCCTCCTGTGCCCAAGAAGGGAACACCAAGCTGGCCCAAGAAAACCTCCAGAAGGGGCCCAAGACGGCCACGGAGTCGCCCCTCGACGGCCCCAAACAGTCCAAAGACGGCCCCAAGAGACACCCCCACGGCCAAGAGGGCCCCCAGACGGCCTAAGAGAGCCAGATAGCCCAAAAACGGTCCAAGAGGGCCACAAGACGGCCCCAAAAAGGGCCAAAGGACCCGAAGACTGCCCACACTAGCTTAAGAATGGACGGACGAGAGGAGGATGACGACACAGACAAGGAAATACCCCCCCACACACGACGAGGAATACGGCGTCACAGGGTGCAGCCCTCGCAGGACTCGGGGCACGAGATGTGGCACGTTACGGCCTCCTTTGCGCCCCACGAATAGCCGCCACCCAACATGCTGGGCTGGCACAGCGGAAGGACTTGCCGCAGGCAGCTGGATTTAGGTCGGGCGTGTCCCCCCTGCGGTCAAACATAGTCAAACGTGGTCAAACATGGTCGACAATGATCAGAAAGATAGAGAAACATCGTCCCAGACTATTGCTTGACTATTTTTGCATTGTCCTCCTGTAGAGGGACGCGCCCGACTCAAAGCCGGATAGATAACGCCTTCTTGTCACAAAACTGAAGGGGCCCGAGGACACACAAATAAATGCACACAAACAAAACGATTCCACACATTTCCCCATATTTTCTGGGTTTTTGTCTTCCCCCCCCCTTCCCATATTTTCCCATATTTTCTGGGGAATCGACGATTCACTGTGTCTGTGTGTTTTTTGTTCCCCTCCTGAAAAGCCCCGGCCATGTCGGCGGGGCGGGCCGGGAGCTCCGCCCGGGCAGGCGTCCGCACCACCTCTGAAGACCCACCAGCCTTCTGGGCGTAGGCTTACAGTGGGTGTGCGGCCACAAGAAACCTCCGCAAGAAACCCAACCCTGAAATCCGCGGTCTGTTCAGTGAAAGTCCAAAGTGGTCGATCGAAAATCGTCAAGATCTTGTTGGGGGCCCACCGAAATCCAAGAAACCCAGGGCACCCTGGCAAAATCCAACTGGTTTCTTGGCACGCGCCCCCACTGTAGGTCGGGCATGTCCCCCTCCATTGGACGAAAAATGAAACAGACTCAAAACATATTCGAACATGGCCAACACATGCTCAAAACATCGCCCCCTGACTATTGTCTGGCTGTTTTTGTGAACATTCCTCCTGTAGAGGAACAGGCCCGACTTAAGCGTAGGTGATTTCACTGGTGAGTTATTGGCCCCCCCTTCTTCCCCTTCGGAGAGACGTTTTACTCCCTATGGGTAAACACCCCTTTCCCCATTCGACGCCACCATCCCTGCAAAAAGCAGTACACGCTACACTTCGCGGCAACATCTGGATCGTGCCTCGGCCCCCCCGCGATCACGTCACCGTGCGTTTGACAGCGACAGCGAGGGTGCTGACATAGCCACGCGTGCGCAGGCCCACCGTGCTAGACAATAACAAATCTTGGAGGCCTGGAAATGGGCACCAACACCAACACAGGGGGTTGCCTCCACAGGGGGAAGATTATCCTAGATCTCGGTGTTGGTGGTAATATTTCGGCCACCTTGAAAGCCAGAATATTACCACCATCACCGAGATCGGAATATTCTTCCCTCGGTGGAGGCACACCGCCGATGTTGGTGTTGGTGTCAACCTCCAGGCCTGCGAAAATTCAACGTGCGCGCGACGGCAAAATATTGGATCATGCGCGAGCGCCCCATGATCGTTTTGCACTGCTGCTTGGCGGGGATGCCGGAGGTGTCCACCTGTCGCGTGGTGCGTGTCGGTTCACCGTCCTGCCAGAAACGAGTGCGAAGTTGTCGCAGGTGCACGCGCCATGCGCAATTAGGGGGACGCAACATGACACAAACATAACAACTCGGAGGTCCGCGCGGATTTCTTGGATCCGCGCTGGACACCCATCCCTGGCGCGCGGAGCGCGCAAGGGGCGGCGCCGGAAGCGCCTCCAAGGGGGTCCAACGCGGATCCGAGAAATCCGGAAATCCGCGCGGACCTCAGAAAATGTATGATATGTCATTATTCGTTCCCGTAGTGCCGACCACGCCGATATTGGCTTCTGTCGAGTATGATGGGGGGCCGACGTGCTTCCCGATGGGGGGCGGTACGCGCCCTGGCGCATCTGCCACACGGTGCGCGCGCGCTGCGCGCGCGATGCGCACGCAGCACGGGTGAAGCACGCCACGCACGTGGCGAGCGTGGCACCCGCGGCGCATATGGCGCGCCAGGTGCACCTGGCATGCCTGGGCTTCCCACGCGCCTCATGAACCACCTGGCGCGGGAGGCGCACCGGGCACGCGGGGCGCATCTCGTGAGCATCACGCACCTGGCGTGTGTTCCAGTTCCCAGTGGCCGCCCATCGAAAAGGCGACCCTTGCCAGTGCTGAACATCGGGTGGTATTTTTGTGGCGGGCGAGCTGGCGGGGATGAGCGAAACGGCCTCATCGAGGGGAAATCTGATGATAGTTCATGCTTCCGATGCTCGCTCGGGTTCCCGCCAGACGCGAAGAAGCATGGGGGACTGGGCAGCCGTGGAAATTCTTGGCCCGCGCATCCAATTTACTCATCGACGTCGTTGACTGCGGCGATGACGACGGCGATGAGAACCATGCCGACGAAGAGATGGAAGGCGAGTGGCGACGGCGCCGACGGCAACTAGAATGGCGCTGGCGATAGTGGTGATAATGAAAAACGGGATTCCTGGCGTCGATTTTGGACGCCCGAAGTGGGTACGGAAAATACGGGCCCAATGCCCAACAACAACTGACTGTGTTCCCAGACCAGCAGCGGCCGCTGTTGGGCAGGCGGCCTTCTGTCTCAAATGGGCACAATTTGCGGCGACAAGGCGACACCGACAGCGGGTCTTGTTCAGAAAAAACAGGAACTGTCGGTCCGTGTGCCCATGCTTTTCCGTACCGAATTCTGGAATGCACACAGACAAACTAGTGTATATGTATGTATATATCTATGTGTATATATATATACGTGTGTATATGTCCTCCTGGGAGGCGCGCGTCCGACCCGAATGCAGTATACTCATATTGTAGTGCATCGTTTCCCGAGCGGTGTGACCAGAAAGCGCACGCCACGACGCATATACTTTCAGTTCTCTCGGTGCGCGCGTCGCCCCTTGCGGGGCGACGCACACATAGTATGAGTATGTTGGGGTGACGCCGAATTTCGATCGTCCCGATCGATGAAGGTGAACGTTTTCTTATTCGGCGTTCCGACGTTGGGCGGAATGGAAGGGGGTCGGGGGGGGTCTGGCTCTGGACCTCTGCTTAACGCGACTGTTTGCAGCAGTGCGTCCTGTGGGGGAACATTCCACCTGCTTGAAGCAGGCGACAGAAACAGCCAAGAGCTACTGCATGGGGGGGGATGGGGGGTGCCAAGGCCCGCGCCGACTGGCAAAACGAGGAGTAAGACAACGATCACGCTTCGATCGCCCCGATCGGCGGTGACAGCAGTTGAAGTGACGGGTGGCGGCAGCCACGGGCAGACGGCGGTCGCCGACAATGGGGGCAAGGTGCGGGCGAGCCGTCCCCCCCAAGCTGTACCACTTTGCTTGGGCTCTGCGTCGGGCGAACGGTGCCTGCCGCGTTTCCAGCGGTGTCCTTTCTGGGTCTCCGCCTTCCCCTCCTCCTCCTCCTCCTCCTCCTCCTCCTCCCTCCTCCTCCTCCTCCGCCTCCTCCGCCTCCTCCTCCTCCTCCTCCTCCTGCTCCTCCTCCTCCTCCTCCTCCTCTGCTCCTCCTCCCCCCTCATCCTCCTCCTCCTCCTCCTCTCCCCTCTCTCTCCTCCTCCCCTCCTTCCTCCCTCCTCCTCCTCCTCCCCTCCTCCCCTCCCCTCCCCCTCCCCCTCCTCCTCCCCCTCTCCTCCTCCTCCTCCTCTCCTCCCTCCTCCTCCCCCTCATCCTCCTCCTCCTCCTCTCCTCCTCCTCCCTCCTCCTTCCTCCTCCTCCTCCTCCTCCTCCTCACCCTCCTCCTCCTCCTCCTAGCTTTTGCCGCTCTCCAGCCTGTTACTTAGCTGCCTGTTCTCGTGTGTGGCGGGCTTCGAACCCTCAGCGGTACAAATTTAAGTGCTTCGCTTCTTTAAGAACATGTACCCCGACAGCCACCAAAGGCGACGCATAGGGATAGATGAGCTTTAACCGCTCTCCAGTTTGTTCTAGTCCCGAACCCAGCGCTGAATCCGAGTCCAATCCAATCCTCCTCCTCCTCCTCCTCCTCCTCCTCCTCCCTCCCCCTCCCCCTCCCCCTCCCTCCTCCCTCCTCCCTCCTCCTCCTCCTCCTCCTCCTCCTCCTCCTCCTCGTCCTCGTCCTCCTCCTCCTCCTCCTCCTCCTCCTGCCCCGAAATGCCTCCCCAGCGGCCCCCGAGAGCCGAACGAAGAGACCCCAGGAAGCATCCCTGAGGACTCTGGCCGGCCTACGTCAGCGCCGCCGCCGCCGCCGCCGCCGCCGCCGCCGCCGTCGTCGTCGTCGTCGTCGTCGTCGTCGTCGTCGTCGTCGTCGTCGTCGTCGCGTCGTCGTCGTCGTCGTCGTCGTCGTCGTCGTCGTCGTCGTCGTCGTCGTCGTCTCCCTTCGGGGTCGGCGGCACCGGCCGCAAGACCTTAGCAATGGAAACTCTGTTTTTTTCCTGACCAGCATCAAAATCCTTTACGAAACTTGCGCTTGAGGGAACCCGTCCCAGCATCGGACAAGATGTCAAACATCGGCCTTGATTCTGATCACCCGAAGGTTTCACGCAATTAAAGACTATCACATCATATTCCAGCAAGATCGCGCGCACGATAGGAACAGAGCCAACGGTTGAAACGACATCGTGCGTTGCCTCGGAATATGAGGTTGGAGCACCGTCTGCGACTATACTCTATACTGGCACACTGATGGCGTGGGTACGATGCTAAATGATCGTTCCCCACTGCCCCCCTGGTCAAACCACCCGGGGGTAGAGGCCCCTAAGAGGCTCAGCATCGCTCGCCCGTCTGCAGGCGTAACGTTTTGAATTACCTGGTCGCGCCGGGCCGCCGAATCTTGCCAGTTGCGAAGACTCGCCTCACAGTCAGGGCCATGCCGCACAGACTGCCCTGAGCACCGCCATGCGTACCAAACGCCGCTGTGGCCTTGCGGTGGCCAGATATTGCCACTCGCCAAGGCCACATGGCAGGTGATCGGTCCCGAGTGCAACAATTTAATTACCCCAAGCGCAACGGTGTGCAATTGCAAAGCGCACCGAAACGCTGCAATTAAAGCCGTGCAGAATGTGATCAAACTGGCTGCAACAACACCGAGCTGCATCGCAGGCGATGCCTGCGCTGGCCACAAGACCGAGAAACTCGTGCACAAAAACGCCTCCTGTGAAATTGTCGACGTGAAGAGGACGTGCACGACTGGCCCGTGATGCCCCACGACCCGCGTGCCCCGCGAGTGGTGTTTCTGACTGCGGGGGCCGGGCCGCACAGGCTGCCCCGAGCACCGTCATGCGTGCCAAACGCCGCTGTGGCCTTGCGGTGGCCAGGTATTGCCACTCGTCAAGGCCAGATGGCAGGATGATGAGGAGGAGGAGGAGGGGGAGGAGGAAGAGGAGGAGGAGGAAGAGGAGGGGGAGGGGGAGAAGGAGGAGGAGGAGGAGGAGGAAGAGGAGGTGATCGGTCCCGAGTGCAGCAGCTGAATTGCAGAGCGCGCCAACAGGCTGCGACCGTGCCATGTGTGTTCAAATCGCGAGTGGAAACTTTGCTCGCCACAGGGATTCCGCGTGCGGAGACGAGGCAGCAGGCCTGATGCCCAGGAGACGACCGAGCGCACAAATCGTGCACCCACGACTCCGAAGCAGAACAGCCCCAGCCGCTCTGCCAGCCCGCACCGCAGGCTCTAAGCTGAAAGCGTCAAGCAGCGACATGCGCTCCATCACCACGCGCCCTCGCCCTCGCCCCGGCGGTGGCCTTGCGGAGGCTGCGCCACGAGAAGTGCTTTGGCTTACGCTTCTCCTCGGTAGCCCGCGTCCTCCTTGCCGAGGGGCAGATGTGACAAAATCGGCAGAGCTCCCCGTTCCTGCAGCCGCGCTCGGCGAAAAGGCAAGGGCGGCACCTGCCCGTCGAGTGCAGGATAGACCCCCACGTCGGGCCCAAGTCGAGGGTGGCACCTTCCGCGACACACGACGTCATCGCGACGCGCCCGCACAGCTCCGCGGCGTGTGTGGAGCAGTGCCCCCTCGCCGCCGCGGGGGCCGAGCGGGAGCGCACACGCGCGTCCGGACCCGCGTCCGGAACGTGCAGGAACGTGTTGAGAACTCGCAGGCCGTCCTCCATCACCGCCCTGTCGATGGGTCCCAGGCCGACCTGGAGAAGCTCTGCACCCTCCCCGCCCACCAGCTCCAGGAGGGCGCCCTGAGCCTGAGTGCAGCCGCCGCTTCCTCTGCCTGCGGCACGCTCCTCCCGCGGGACCACCGCGGGAGAGGCACCACCTGGCGGCCCACCCCCAGCCATCTCGCTGCGCTCGCCGCCGGCCTTTCTGAGGGCAGCCCCCCCCTCCTCTTGAGCGGGGTGCGAGCGCTGGATTTGCCTTCAACGCGTCCCTCGAGACCAAAACTGCTCGAGCGAAAATGGCTACGGATGCAGTGGTAGGTGCATGATTTTCCAACCTACTCTAGCCCTGGCCACCAGAAAAAACCTCGAGCACCGGGAATACCAAAACTGGAGGGTTTTCGCGCGTCGGGTCCTGGGAGGCGATGCTCGTTCGACACTCTTGCGATACTTCTCTGGGTGCTCGAAATGAGTTCTGGGCTGTGGTCCTTAAAAACGATGGGAGCAGCACGATGGAAATTCTGCCCGGGCCCCGCTCCGGGTGAGCGGTGCCTGGCGCGTCTCCGGCGGTCTCTTTCGGGCACCCGGCGGTGCCCGCTCTCCCTGCTAGGCGCTCCTCTCCAGACACTCACCAAGATCAGGAGCACAGCGGAGGCCCGTCCACAAGAAACCTTCCACGAGAAGCCCAGCCCCGAGACCCCAGGAGGTCCCTAGATTTTCGGTGCGGGAGCGTCACGCCTTCCACATCAAAACCATCGAAACCTAAGAAGCTCAGGGCACCCTGGAGGCAAGCAGGGTGTTTCTTGGCATGGGCCCCCACTGCATCGGTCGAAAATTCCCGAATATCCGATCGGCATCTGCCGGAATTCCCGCCAGAGCCTTACCGATGTTCGCAAGATTCCGCGCGTTCCCCGCCGCGCAGAGGCGATCGTCCTGCCCAACGAAGTTCCATCCCTAACGACATCTGCACCGCTGCCATCCCGCCGTCATGCGCAGCATCACCGACATGTGGCCGGCTTTGCTACCGCCCTGTTTGTAGATATTGCGATCACGACGCTAGTTCTTCCTAACCTATGTCGTCTTGGACCGACGTCAAATGCTACGGCAGGGCTGTCTCGAAATTCGGTGTCGTTCCACAAATTCAATGGTCCTCACCGACGAAGCTAGTCGGGAATATTCCAGCCGGCTTCGCGAACTGTCGAACTCGCCTGACCGCTGTGCTGTAGTCTCAACTTGGCGCATCGTCAATGTCATTGAGAGGGCTGTATAGACGCTGTTTATGTTTCCCCATGGTCTCAGGAAATGCTGATGAGATGCCATGTGGTGGGAATACTGTAGTGATGCGAGAACGAATGCAATCGGCGATTGGTATCTGGAACAGGATTACTGTTTACAGACACGTGGTCCTCGTCCGCCAGCAGAAACCTAGAACAGCAGCCATGCTCCAGCCTCCACGCGCTACGCATGCAGATCGCGAACGCCGCAGACGCCCTCGCGCGATCCGTTCACCGCCATACCCAACACGATCAACGAAGGTAATTTTAAAGTTGGGGGAGCAGGCGGTAGCCAAAACAGGTACATCCATTCCGATATCGTCTCGGCGAAGCTGCACGGGCGATGAATATCCCGTAGCCGAAGACGACCATACACAGCCTGGAAAAGTTATAACAACATCAACAAGACGATCATCTTGAATGGTCTGCAAACGGCAATGCCCAAAGAGGATCATGAAGTGAGGCTCGCCTTTCAGTGTTGGCAGCCTGCGCAGGCGCGCACCATGGGCCAGCTCATGGACCTTTGGCTTGCGCGCCCGGTGGAAATATTGGGAGGCGGATGCCATTTAACGGCCCGGTGCTCTTCCAAGTTCATACTTCACAGGGCCGCCGGCGTGGGCGGTTCCACGTTTTGCCTTGCGCCTTCGTTCCCACAATCGGATGGCTGGCACGCACCGCGCGGTGCAGACAAGACTCTCTTCCATGACGTTGACAGGCGGACGTCACTTGATGCGACGGGCCCCGCCTGGTCTGATTCAACATCGTTATGGTTTCCATCCCTGTGCCACTTTTGTTAGATATTTTTTCGCGGGGATGTACTTCTCGGGTCGGACCTGCCCCGCGGTGGCCTGGGTGGTCCAGTGACTGTCCCGTGGTGGTTTCGTGGTTGGCCTACGGCTGCCCCAGTGGTTGCCAACAGGTGGACCCCAAGCAGTGACCCTGCCCAGCATGAGGCATGCAATATCCGCCACGGAGCCTCGACGCACGAAGTGGAGTGTCCGCAGGTCCTTACGAGTCCTCAGTCTTCAAACACGCGCAGATGCACCGCAAAAGGACCAAGGGGCCCAATTCCCGAGACCTACCGGGATCCCCGCGTGACTCGCGGGAGGCTCGGCGTGACCTGCGGGGTGGGCCGCGTGGCCTCCCCTGGAGGAGAGCGGGCGCCGAGAGGGGCCCGCGAGGCGCCCGAGACGGTCCGCGAGGGCCACGAGACGGCCCAGGGGCGCTCCGAGACGCCCAAGATGGACCGAAGACGGGCCAAGAGGCTCCCAAGAGGCCTCGAGAGGGCCACGCCCGGGCCCCACCCAAGAGGCAAACACGATCGAGGATGTCTCTTGCGCTTCGGTCGACTGCACGTGGTGTTCTGCCTCCTTCGGGCTTCCGGACGCCCAAGACGGCCCAAGAAGGCCCCACTATCGCCCAAGACGGCCCAAGAGGCACCCAACAGGACGACCCAGGAATGCCCCAAGACTGCCCCAGAGGTCCCCAAGAAGGCCCAAGAGGCCCCCAAGAGCGGAACCCGGACTGAAATTTCGAGTCCTTCCCCAAAAGGTGACCCCCCCCAAGCAGCCCCAATATGCCCCCAAGAGGCCCCCAAGAGTTCCAAAGAGGCTCCCAAGAAGCGCCCCAGGAGCCATCCGAGAGGCCCGCGAGAGGCAGCCCGGTAGACCCTGAAGTGCAGCCAAGAGGCCCCCGACCCACAACCCAGGCACGGCGGCGGGATGGGCCGAATGCCACCAGATCCGCCGCCCCCTGTCGATTCATCGCAGGGGTGCCTGGCTTGCCGAATCCTATCGGTTTTGGTTTTGATTCTTTTTCCAAAAAGAACTCCCCCTGGGGCTTCGACCCGTCCCGCCGGCCACCCAGAAAGGATCTGACGGAGCTCAATCCGGAAAAAAATCTCCCAAGATGGTTCAAGATGGCCTCAAAGATGGCCACGTTGGCCCAAGATGGCCTCCAAGATGGTCCAAAATGGCCTCCAAGTCCGCCCAAGAGATGAGGAGATGCCTCCAAGTCCGCCCAAGAAACCTCCAAGACGGCCCAAGACGGCCCAAGAGGTGCCCAAGAGGCCTCCAAGACGGCTCAAGAGGCCTCCGAGAGGTCCTCCAGGAGGACCCGAAGAGGCCAAAATCATTGATTTTTCTTAGGTTGTTTCAAGTTTTTCGTATTCGCTCATTTTCGGCTTTCCGACGACCCAAGACGGCAAGACGGCCCAAGAGGCCCCCAAGATCGCCCCCACAGCGCCCAAGAGGCCTCCAAGATGGCCTCAGGACTGCCCAAGAGGCCCCCAAGACAGCCCCAAGACAGCCCCAAGAGAGCACAAAGACGACCCAAGAGGCCTCCAAGACGCCCAAGATGGCCTCTAAGACGGCCCTAGAGCACCCCAAAAGGGCCCCAAGTCGGCCCAGAGGGGCCCCCCAAACGGCTTCCGACGGCGTCGGACGGGCCATGAGCCCACCAAAACGGCCGAAGATGGCCCTAAGATGGCCCAGGACGGCCCAAAAGGCTTCCAAGAGGGCCTCCAGGAAGGGCCGAAAAGGCCCAAATCATGTATTTCCCATGAGTTTTTGAAGGATTGTGGCATTTGCTTTTTTTCGGCCTTCCGACGGCCCGAGACGGCCCAAGTGCCCCCAAAGATCGCCCAAGAGGCCCACGACGGCCCCCCGAGGCCCCCAAGACGGCCCAAGAGGCCTCCAAGACGCTCAAGATAGCCTCCAAGACGGCCCAAGAGCCCTCCAAGACGTCATCCAAGAAGGCCCGAAAGGGTCCAAATGGCCTCCAGACGGCCAAGATGATTTTCAAGATGCCCACGTGTTCCCCGAAGGCTTTACCGATTCGGGGAACACATGGTCCGATAGCTTGGCAGGTCTGGCCTCAACGTTCGGCCACATATGCGCTTCCAAAAAGGCAGGGGGGGGCGGATTTTGGCCTCGTCGGGCCTTCCTGGAGTACCTCTTGGAGGCCTCTTGGGCCGTCTTTGAGGCCTCTTGCGGGCATTTTGGGCCGTCTTAGACCATATTGAGGCCATCTTGGGCAGTCTTGGAGGCGCATCTTGGGGCCATCTTAGCCGTCTTGGAGGCCATCTTGGGGCGTCTTGGAGACGTCTTGGAGACCATCCCGGGCCATCTGCAGGCCCAGATCACCAGACATCATGCCGCTTGTGCATGGTTGGAATGTCGCGCCCTGATGGAAAATGTTAGAACAATTGGAATGCCGCGCGCTGATGGAAAATGCTAGACGCATAGAACAGCAGCCTGCAGCACTCAGAACTCAGAATAGTAGCCTGCAGCACTCGTGCAGTGGCCCTTGCGCACTCAGAACAGCAGCCTGCAGACGGCAGCCAGCAGCAGCGCCTGCGGGAATGCTGCGCAGGCGCCAGAGCTTTCCAGCGCTGGGCTCTGCTCCACGATCGTCGGGGCCGTTTCCGAGTTCGGCACCGCCGCCACTGCCGAGAAGGCAGAAGCAGACCCAGTGCCCTGAAGCTGCGTGCTGAAGTCTGCCACGAAGTTTTCCGCAGTGGTGCTCTCCAGGGTGTCCACTACGCTGTCGAAGGCGCTCTGGCTGATGACGCCTGCCCCCTCAGAGGAGCCCACCTGTGCGGTGATGGTGTAGGAGACCAGGATCTCGGCGGCCTCGGCAGTCATCCTCCGGCCGCCTCTGGCCGCCAGCCTCCGGTCGCTGTACACCGAGAGCGTCACCGCCACCGTCGACTCTGGCATGCCCACCCTCGTGGCGATCGAGGTCACGAACGAGTCCACGACGTCGGAGTTGCTTATGAAGTCCTCGGCCTCGGAGGCTGCCACGGAGGCCCTGAAGCTCCCCGAGACGACCAGCGTGGCCAGCGTCGCTGCCAGTGGCGCCTGCGTGGGAGACACAGTGGGCGCTGCCGATGGCGCCGGCTTGGGAGACACAGTGAGCCCATCGGTCATGTCTGCCGAGGCGTTAATGGACAAGATGTACCGCCACACGCCTCCATCCAGTTCCATCGCATACGACTTGACAGAAAAACTGGACTCTCCAGCGCTGTCATCCGTGTGCCAGGTGAGATTGGTGGTCTCGATGAAGTCGCTGGTCTGGATGTAGTTGATCTCCCACATGTCGCTGGAGTCGGAAGTCGGTATGCTGGCGTTGACGTACTCGTACATGAACCCCGCGCCCACCAGATCCCCGATTTCCTCATTGGCCCACGAGGTCACTGAGACCCATTCTTCGTGCAAGTGCGCCTCCACTGAAACGTACGTGTCGCCGTTTTGGCTCAAGCTTCCAGTCACATCCCATGTGTCTGCGCCGTCGTAGCCAAGACTGACTGAGATAGATACGTCCTCCGTACCCATCAGGTCCCAATCGTCTTCCTCCCCGTTCGCCTCGCTCCACCAGCCGTCCTCGTACGTAGTCGTCTGCCCCTGCTGCGTCGTCGTCACTTCCATCTCGTAGTCGTCCTCGTCGTCCATCATGCTCTCCATCGTCAGCGTCAAGGCCATCTCGGTCATCGTGTCAAGGCGCCCGTCCGGCTTCGTGAGGGCCAGCGCAACGGTCATGACATCCCCGAGGTTCCCATGGGAAGTGATGCTGTCAGAACTGCTCGTTCCCACGATAGACCAGTTCACCAACTGGTTGCCGTCGTTGTCCTCCATCGCCATCCCAGACGTGAAAACGCCCCCGGAGCTGCTGCCCGTCACCGACACGGTCATCATCACCCCCGCGTCGGTGTCGCTCGGGTCCCAGACCTGCGCCTCCGCGGAGGCGCCCCAGTCCGTGAGCAGGCGGAGCCCGCCGGCCGCCGTGAAGTCCACGCCCGCGTCGAGCTGGAAGAAGGGCGTCGACAGATCGGAGGTGAGGACCTGGAGCTGGAAGGTCGCCCGGTCCCCGGCCGCGTCGACCGCCTCGAGGCGTACGCCGCCGAGGGCCTCGGGAGCCTGGCCGCTCTCCAGGCGCACCGCGGCGCTCCCGCGGAGCACCGCCGAGCCAGAGGGGTCGCCCTCGGTCAGCGAGGCGTCGACGGCGAGGAGCTGGCCCTCCGGGTCCCAGACGTCCATGTCCCAGGTGGTCGCGGTGCCCGACGTCTCCGACACGACGTCCCACTTGACCAGCCTCTCGCCTTCGAGCTGGATCTCCCCCGCGGCCGAGTCGCCCGTGGGGAGCTCGGCGAAGGAGACGTCGACCTCGAGCAAGGTGCTGGATCCGCTGTCGACAGTCAGGTCCACGGATTGAGAGGAAGTTGATACGTCGGCGCTCAGATCCCATCCAATGATCTTTTCGCTGTTTTCGTCCTTGATGGTGCCACTGGATGACATGGCGAACTGGTCGATTGCGATGGCCGAGTTGCCATTGCCTAGCTGAATGTATGCTGCTATCATATCCTGCACGCTCTGCACAGTGACTGACGCCCCTGCGGAATAGAGCGTGTCGCGTGCAGTCAAGCCGAGAACCGCGCGGTAGTCTTCCTCATCATCTGATGTCGCCGACGAAAAGACCAAATCCATGTGCTGGTTGTGCAGATCCACATCCACGGTGCACGAACCCTGCAGGCACGGAATCTCCGCTGCGTCTGTGAGCATATCGAGCAGTTCGCTGGCCAATGAAACGGACATGGTAACGTTGAGGCTGGAGTCCATGGGGCTGAACATATTGATGTCCACATCGTGCACCTGCCCACTGGTAGGTTCATTGGTGAGCGACACGCCAGCTGTACCCATCTCTGTGTCACTGCTGTCGTGGATGGTGGTGTGGACCGTGTAATTCGTACTCTTCGTCACCAGAGTCAAAGGGTCCAGCTTGAGAACCTGCTGATAGCTGCCATCTTCGAACACTTCAACCGACGCGACGGCAGTCAAGCCAGTGTCGTCGTGGGTGCCATCGACGTCGACCCGCCCTGCGGGGTCATTGGCAACCGAGAGAGAGGCGTCAATCGTAAAGCCGCCCTGTGTGCGATAGGAATCCGAAAAAGTTCCGCTCAACACGATCTGCTCACCTCCAACGCTTACCGTGACCTCCAAGGTGCCGTCCTCCGTGTCAGCACCAGTGTATGTTGCCCCGGCAGACGCGTCGAGCAAGGTGCTGGAGGAATCACTGGGGTCCTTCACGACCGCCGAGACGCTCATGGACGCACTGCTGTTTGTACCCGTGATGGTAATGAACTCTGTGCCATCCTCGGGGTTATAGACGCGAGCCGAGAGGGATTCGTCACCGCTTGCACTCGAGGAGGCAGACACGCTGGCGATGGTATCGCCACTGTCTGGGGCCTTGATTAGCACGGAGAGCGTCATCTCGTCGGTTGAATAAAACTCGACCTTGGCAACTTCCACGTCTGAAAACAATACGGCTAAGTCCAGGGAGGCCCCCCCCTGCCTCGGCAGAATCCGCAGCAAACAGGTGCACTTCAAATTGGGTCGCCTCGTCCATCCCGTACTGCAAGTCGAAACCGATAGCGTTGTCGGTCATGGTGGCATTGAGTTCAATGTCGATCTCGGACCCATCTGCGTAGACCATCTCCGAGAACGTCACGGTGGTGCTCTCGCCAGTCAGGCGACGGCCGTCCCGCGGCGGCTGCTGCACCAAGCGCTCGCCGGCGGAGCCCCCCAGCGACCTCGCCAGCCGGCGGCCCAGCAGCCGCCTCGCGCCGCGCGCCAGGTCGTGCACGGCCGACGCCCTGCGGCTGCGCCAACCCACCGCGTGGGAGGCGCCCAGGCACTGCGCCGCCAGCGACGACGGCGCCACCGCGGCCATCCGCACCGAGCGGTGGACGCCGCCGCGCTCCCCGCGCGAGTCGCCGACGAGCAGCTTGCCGAGGGCGGCCGCGAAGGCGGCGGGGCGCACGCGGCCAGTGACGAGGGCTGGCGCGGAGACCAGGTAGCCGCCCTCGCCGTCGCTCTCGATGACCAGGCTGGCGTTGACCGCCTGCGTCAGCCGCACGGAGCGGTCCCCGCTCTCCTCGTAGGCGACGGCGGCGTCGAGGCGGATGCTCGCCCTCCCGAGCAGGCCGTCCAGGGCCTCGGGGAGACTCCCCGCGGGCACCCGCCAGCCCACGAGCGCCGGCTGCTCCAGCGTCACGTTGGGGCTCTCCAGCGACCAGGGGCCCTTCCGCCTCACGCTCCCGCTGCGCTGCAGCCACATCCTGGGCGCCTCCGCGGCCGCGAGGTCCACGGGCACCCGCGCCGTCCACGGCACGTGCAGGCCGAGGCCGAAGAGGTCCACGCTGGACGTGACCTCGCACCCGCCGGGCGCGGACGCCGCGGCGCCCGCGGGCGACACGCGCGTGCGGGCGTGGAGCTTGACGCGCGCCAGGCCCTGATGCTGCGCATCCGGGGCCTCAACACCAAAACGGGGGGTTGCCTCCGCAGGGGGAAGACGATCCTGGATTTCGGTGTTGGTGGCAATATTTCGGTCACCCTGGAAGCCAGAATATTACCACCATCACCGAGACCGGGATCGTCTTCCCTCGGTGGGGGAACACCGCCGATCTTGGTGTTGGTGTCAACCTCTAGGCCAGGGCCTCGACGGCGACGTCCAGGTCGCGCACCCGCAGCTGGCACGTGGCGCTCCGCAGCCAGGCGCGGTGCGGGGACCAGGCCGGCCGCACCAGGCCTGCGTCGAGCAGCACGTCGGCGGAGCCCGCGCCCTCCGGCGCAGAGACGTGCACGTCGTCCACGCGGAGGCCGAGGGCGCACGCGTGGTGCAGGCTCGCGGCCAGCGCGGCGGGTCCGAGGAGCAGCACGGTGGCCGCGGCGAGCGCGGTGCGGCCGTGGCGGCGGCCTGCCACGGGCCGCGCCACGTCCGCGGCAGCGGGGGGCGCGACGCCCTCCTCCACCATCGTGGGCCCGAGGTCCTGGGCGGCCGCCTCGGGCACCGGGCTCGTTGCTGCCATCGCCGGGGCAGGCGCGGCGCGCCGAGGCGGTGCGCGATTGGCGCGAGGGCGGCGAGGCGTCGTGCAGCCTGCTCGCCTTCAACAGCTACTACGAGGCGCGCCAAGGCGGAGACTCCTGGGCTCGAGCAGCTCCTTGAGCCAAGATGGCCACGGTGGGGCCATCTTAGCCGTCTTGGACGCCATCTTGGGCCAACTGGAGGAAACAGAGGCAAGACGGATGCATTTTGAGATCCTTTCCGGGTGGCCGGCGGGACGGGCCGAAGCCTCAGGGGGAGTTCTTTTGGAAAAGGAACCAAAACCAAAAGCCATATCATCTGGCACGCCAGGCACCCCTTTGCTAAAGCAAAAGGGAGCGGAAGGCGCTTAATTCCCCACCAAATCCTCCAAGACGGTTCAAGATGGCCTGCAAAATGGCCACGTCGGCTCAAGATGACCTCCAAGATGGTCCAAGATGGCCTCCAAGTCCGCCCAAGATGGTCCAAGACGGCCTCCAAGACGGCCCAAGAGAGTCCAAGACGGCCCAAGACGGCCCCAGAGGCCCCCCAGAGGCCTCCAAGACGGCCCAAAAGGCCTCCAAGAGGGCCCGAAGAGGCCCAAATCATTGATTTTCCTGTGGTTTGGCTCTTCTCGGCATCCCGACGGCTCAAGACGGCCCCAGAGGCCCCCAAAGATCGCCCAAGAGGCCCCCAAGAGGGCCCCAAGACGGCCCAAGTGGCCTCCAAGACGGCCCCAAGAGGGCCCCAAGACGGCCCAAGAGGCCTCCAACACGCCCAAGATGGCCTCCAAGACGCCCAAGATGGCCTCTAAGACGGCCCCGAAGCGCCCCAAGAGGGCCCCAAGTCGGTCCAGAGAGGCCCCCAAGACGGCTCCCGACGGCGTCAGACGTGCCAGGAACCCACGCTGGCCCAAGACGGCCCAAGAGGCCCCCAAGAGGGCCTCCAGGAAGGCCAGAAGAGGCCAAAAACATGTATTGTCCTAAGGTTTTTGACGGATCTTGACATTTGCTTCTTTTCGGCCTTCCGACGGCCCGAGACGGCCCAACAGCCCCAAAGATCGCCCAAAGATCGCCCAAGAGGCTTCCAAGATGGCCCCAGAACGGCCCAAGACGGCCCCAGGAGGCCCCCGAGACGGCACAGGAGGCCTTTAAGACGCCCAAGATGGCCTCCAAGACGGCCCTGGAGCATTCCAAGAGGCCCCAAGTCGGCTCATAGAGGCCCCCCGAGCGGCTTCCGACGGCGTCAGACGGACCAGGAGCCCACCAAGACGGCCCAAGAGGCCTCCAAGAGGGCCTCCAGGAAGGCCCGAAAAGGCCAAAATCATTGATTTATCATTGGTTTTTGAAGGATTGTGGCATTTGTTTTTTTTCTGCCTTCCGACGGCCCGAGACGGCCCAAGTGCACCCAAAGATCGCCCAAGAGGCCCAAGACACGGCCCCAAGAGGCCCCCAAGACGGCCCAAGAGGTCTCCAAGACGCTCAAGATGGCCTCCAAGACGGCCCAAGAGCCCTCCAAGACGTCCTCCAAGAAGGCCCGAAAGGGTCAAAATGGCCTCCAGACGGCCAAGATGACCTTCAAGATGCCCACGTGTTCCCCGAAGGCTTTCCAAACCGATTCAGGGAACACATGGTCCGATAGCTTGGCAGGTCTGGCTCAACGTTCGGCCACATAGGCGCTTCCAAAAAGGCAGGGGGCGGCGGTGATTCGCCGTAGGCGCCTTTGATCCGCCGCCCCCTGTCGATTCATCGCAGGGGTGCCTGGCGTGCTAGACCCTTTCGGGTTTCGTTTGGTTCTTTTCCAAAAGAACTGCCCCTGGGCCTCCGGCGCGTCCCGCCGGGGTCCCGGGAAGGTGCTCAATCCGGAAAAAAATCCTCCAACGTTGGCCCACGATGGCCTTCCAAGATGGCATCAAAGTTAGCGCAAGATGGTCCAAGACGGCCTCCAAGACGGCCCAAGAGAGTCCAAGACGGCCCAAGACGGCCTAAGAGGCCCCCAAGAGGCCTCCAAGACGGCCCAAGAGGCCTCCAAGAGGTCCTCCAGGAGGGCCCGAAGAGGCTAAAATCATTGATTGTCCTTTGGTCTTTGAAGGATTTTGGCATTCGCTTCTTCTTGGCATTCCGACGGCTCAAGCCGGGCCAAGATGCCCCCAAGATCGCCCCAAGATCGCCCAAGAGGGCTCCAAGAGGGCTCCATGACGGCCCAAGAGACCTCCAAGACGGCCCCGAGAGGCCCCCAAGACGACCCAGGAGGCCTCCAAGACGCCCAAAATGGCCTCTAAGACGGCCGTGGAGCACCCCAAGAGGGCCCCAAGCCGGCTCAGAGAGGCCCTGCAAACGGCTTCCGACGGCGTCGGACAGGCCAGGAGCCTACCAAGATAGCCAAAGTTGGCTCGAAGCTGGCCCAAGAGGCCTCCAAGAGGGCTCCAAGAGGGCCTCCAGGAAGGCCAGAAAAGGCTAAAAACACAAATTCTCCTTTGGTTTTGAAGGGTTTTCACGTCTGCTTCTTTTCGGCCTTCCGACGGCCCGAGACGGTCCAAGTGCCCCCAAAGATCGCCCAAAGATCGCCCAAGATGCCTCCGAGATGGCCCCAGAACGGCCCAAGAGGCCCCCAAGACGGCCCCAAGAGGCCCCCAAGACGGCCCAGGAGACTTTTAAGACGCCCAAGATGGCCTCCAAGACTGCCCTGGAGCATTCCAAGAGGGCCCCAAGTCGGCTCCGAGAGGCCCTCCAAACGGCTTCCGACGGACCAGGAGCCCACCAAGATGGCCGAAGTTGCCTCGAAGCTGGCCCAAGACGGCCCAAGAGGCCTCCAAGAGGGCCTCCAGGAAGGCCCGAAAAGGCCAAAATCATTTTTCCCATGCGTTTTTGAAGGATTGTGGCATTTGCTTTTTTTCGGCCTTCCGACAGCCCGAGACGGCCCAAGTGCCCCCCAAGATCGCCCAAGAGGCCCAAGACGGCCCCAAGAGGCCCCCAAGACGGCCCGAGAGGCATCCAAGACGCTCAAGATGGCCTCCAAGACGGCCCAAGAGCCCTCCAAGACGTCCTCCAAGAAGGCCCGAAAGGGTCAAAATGGCCTCCCGGCGGCCAAGATTACCTTCAAGATGCCCACGTGTTCCCCGAAGGCTTTCCAAACCGCTTCGGGGAACACATGGTCCGATAGCTTGGCAGGTCTGGCTTCAACGTTCGGCCACATAGGCGCTTCCCAAAAGGCAGGGGGCGGCGGTAATTCGCCGTGGGCGTCTTCGATCCGCCGCCTTCTGTCGATTCATCGCAAGGGTGCCTGGCGTGCTAGACCCTTTCGGTTTTGGTTTTGGCTCTTGTCCAAAAGGGAAGGTGCTCAATCTGGAAAAAATCCTCCAAGATGGCTCAAGATTGCGCCAAGATGGCCCCCAAGATGGTCCAAGATGGCCTCCAAGTTCGCCCAAGATGGTCCAAGACGGCCTCCAAGACGGCCAAAGACGGCCCGAGAGACCCCCCAGAGGCCTACAAGACGGCCCAAGAGGCCTCCAAGAGTTCCCCCAGGAGGGCCCGAAGAGGCCGACATCATTGATTTTCCGTAGGTCTTTGAAGGATTTTGGCATTCGCTTCCTCTCGGCACTCCGACGGCCCGAGACGGCCCAAGAGGCCCCCGAGATCGCCCCCACAGCGCCCAAGAGGCATCCAAGATGGCCCCGTGACTGACTACCTACCAGACCACCCCAACCCAACCCGAAGACCCGAATTTGAATCGAATTTCGGGTTGGGGGGGGTACGGGTTCCATGTGTTTTTTCAGTGTTCCCCGACCCCCCCACTGGAAATCGAGGATAAGTTTGGGCCTTCGGGTTGGGTTGGGGTGGTTTGGTGGGTGGTGAGTGACGGTCCAAGAGGCCTCCAAGACGGCCCCAAGAGGGCACCGAGACGGCCCAAGACGGCCTTCAAGACGGCCCAAGATGGCCCCCAAGACGGCCCTCTTGGGGTGCGGCCAGGAGCCCACCAAGATGGCCGACGTTGGCTCGAAGCAGGCCCGAGACGGCCCAGGAGGCCTCCAAGAGGGCCTCCAGGAAGGCCAGTAAAAGGCCAAAAGCACTGATCGGCCCTGCAGGTTTTTAAAGGATCTTGACATTTGCCTCTTTTCGGCCTTCCGACGGCCCGAGACGGCCCAAGTGCCCCCAAAGATCGCCCAAAGATCGCCCAAGATGCATCCAAGATGGCCCCAGAACGGCCCAAGAGGCCCCCAAGACGGCCCAGGAGGCTTTCAAGACGCCCAAGATGGCCTCCAAAACTGCCCTGGAGCATTCCAAGAGGGCCCCAAGTCGGCTCCGAGAGGCCCCCCAAACGGCTTCCGACGGCGTCGGACGGGCCAGGGGCCCACCAAGACGGCCAAAGATGGCACTAAGATGGCCCAAGACGGCCCAAAAGGCCTCCAAGAGGGCCTCCAGGAAGGTCCGAAAAGGCCCAAATCATTGATTTCCCATGAGCTTTTGAAGGATTGTGGCATTTACTTTTTTTCGGTCTTCCGACGGCCCGAGACGGCCCAAGTGCCCCCAGAGATCGCCCAAGAGGCCCAAGACGGCCCCAAGAGGCCCCCAAGACGGCCCAAGAAGCCTCCGAGACGCTCAAGATGGCCTCCAAGACGGCCCAAGAGCCCTCCAAGACGTCCTCCAAGAAGGCCCGAAAGGGTCAAAATGGCCTCCTGGCGGCCAAGATTACATCAAGATGCCCACGTGTTCCCCGAAGGCTTTCCAAACCGATTCAGGGAACACATGGTCCGATAGCTTGGCAGGTCTGGCTCAACGTTCGGCCACATAGGCGCTTTCAGAAAGGCAGGGGGCGGCGGTGATTCGCCGTAGGCGTCTTCGATCCGCCGCCCCCTGTTAGTTCATCACAGGGGTGCCTGGCGTGCTAGACTCTTTCGGTTTTGGTTTGGTTCTTTTTCCAAAAGAACTCTCCCTGGGGCTCCGGCCCAGCCCGCCAGGGTCCCGGAAAGGCCAGGAAAGCCCCACAAGAGGCGGTCGCAAACGGTTT